GTCCAGCCCTTCCTCCATCCCACCTCTGCCAGGGGCCTGTCCTGGTACCCTCCATCTGTCCCCCCACCAACTTTGGAGCCTGCTGGGTGACCCCCTACTGCAGGGACCTGTAGGGTTCAGACAGCAGGGAGGTGGGGTGGGAGGGGGGCGTTCCCAGCACTGGTAGGGTGGGGAGACGAGTCTCGAACCAAATGGCGTCATTCCAGAGCAGGGCTACTCCACACGCAGCCCACCCTGCAGCCTGCTTTGGGACTCCAAGCTCGGCCTCCCTCCTCCATGCACAGAGAACCCCTCACGGCAGGCGGGGAGGTGAAGCAAACTCCCCCTGCAGGGGAGCCACTCCTTTGGTAAGGCCCTAGATTGGTGATGAACAACAAGGACACCAACCTGTCACAAGCCCTGAGATAGCACCCACAGAACTCAGTCCCCAAGAACCCCCACACTCCCCGAAGTCCCTGTTCCCCCAAGCCCAGCTGTACTCACCAGCCCAAGCCCCAGGGGGCAGGAGAAAGGCCATGGGGAGCAGAAACAAGAAGTGAACCTGCATGTTTGCAGTCAGTGCAAGGACGGTGCCTCTGTCCCTGAACTGCAGGGTTTATAGACTCAGCTTGGGCGGAGGGACTCAAGGGGGCAGGAAAGCTGAAGATCACCTTCACACTCGTCAAAGTGCAGTTTCCAACCACAGCCGACCACACCGGTCGGTGGAAAACTGCAGGGTTTATAGACTCAGCTTGGGCGGAGGGACTCAAGGGGGCAGGAAAGCTGAAGATCACCTTCACACTCGTCAAAGTGCAGTTTCCAACCACAGCCGACCACACCGGTCGGTGGAAAGAACAGGCCACTCGTCAGCCAGGTGTCTGGGTCCCTGCATAACCGGCTGGATGATGCACCATGGGATGGAGAAGACCCTGGTTGGGACGTGTCCAGCAGGGTCCAGGGCTGCTCTGGTTGCTGGCTCACAGCTGGGCACATCTGGGTCTTGTACTCACCTGGCCCTGTCTCCGCTTAGCTCCCTGCCAGTGTCTCTCTGGGTATGTCTACACTACAAAGTTAGTTTGAACTAACTTTCATAGGCACTACACTAGCACTCTGTTAGTTCGAATTTAATTCGAACTAGCGGAGCGCTTAGTTCGAACTAGGTAAACTTCATTCCACGAGGATTAAGCCTAGTTCGAACTTACTAGTTCGAATTAAGGGCTGTGTAGCCCCTTAATTCGAACTAGTGGGAGGCTAGCCCTCCCCAGCTTTCCCTGGTGGCCACTCTGGCCAACACCAGGGAAACTCTATGCCCCCCTCCCGGCCCTGGACCCCTTAAAGGGGCACGGGCTGGCTACGGTGCCCG